CACTGCTTTTCGAGCAGAATCTGCCACCTTTTCGAGCATTATCCGCCAATGCCTATCTACAATGGCAAGGACTGATAGCTTAGCAACATGACCTTTAGGAAAACCTCGCAAATATTGAATGCCTAATATCATTGGGAACGGTTATGAACGTACATGTACATGTACTTCAAGTACATGTACAATATGTGCATGTCTAATACTGTATGTGCACGTACAATATGTGCCTGTATAATGTACATGTATATGATTGTACATGTACAGTGTAGGTGTTCGACAATGTGATAGGCACCAGCGGATTCTGCTCGAAAAGGTGGCAGATTCTGCTCGAAAAGGAGTGAAATTGGCAAACCCATACAAACCTTATGGCGGGCAATTCCTCGAATTCTGCTCCATTTCTTTATCCACATACCAAACATGCATGAAACGTACCAGAAAAAGTACCGAATTCTGCCAATTATTCTTCCGGCAATATCCGCCGGTGCCTACAATGTCACCTGGACGTAGACGTTTAGAGTGAACAATTGTGACTGAGATCGATCGGGCACTCAGCCCATATCAATGATGATTAAGTTAAACCGATTCCGATCCTATGAAACGGTTGTTGTGAAGCCGTGACCTAATCTCACATCCAGGATACAATAACCGAAATACAATAGCGAGAGTTCCCAGATTTCCTAGAGTGCTCAACACCACAAGGATGGAGCATTACCACAAAAGGCAGAAGAGAACAGAGACAGCCGGCTAGGTCATTGTTGTAACGCTGCGTTTCATGCACATAGCAAAGCTACGATGACCTAGCCGGCTGTCTCTATTCTCTTCTGCCTTTTGCAATAACGGAAATACATTGTTACTGCAACGTGACACGTACAATGTTTATGCCCTAGGTCCAGATGATTATCTTTCCAATGGTCTTTGCTGTGCATGCATTAATGCTACATTGTACATGATTGTAGTCTCCGGTCTAGGAGGAGGAGGCACGGACAACCCGGGCGATAATCCAGTGCGCATCTCCGCCCCCTAACACTGAGGCAATACACGTCACATTACGTAGATTTCATCCAGTGGTGTAACCTACTTCGTTCTTGCTTTTCCCACGCACCCACCATTGCTGACCAGACATGTACATGTACATGTACATGTCAATAAAAATGTAATTATCAAAAGTCATAAATTTGTGAATGAAGAGTAATGTGTTATCTTCACTCTACCGAGAGATCTGGGGATACGGTGAATGTGAATGCGACGTCTAGCCTGGTTGCAATCGTAATTCACACGCAGCGCAAGCGTGGGTGTGCGGTCATTGCTTTGCTGTTCGATCTGGGATCAGGCGGGACAAGATGCGGTAGTCGTGTAGATTACAATGGCCGCAGACAGTGAGTTATGCGAATTGGCACCGTGTGCGGTCGTTGCAAAACCAGAAATGACCATGATCTTGTGACAGTCGATTGTGCGAAAGGTCACCACCACTCCGCTCAGCAATGATGTCAAGTTTGGTAAGCACTTATTGCACTAGTGCATAGACATTGTACATTGTACATGACTGTACAGGTACATAGTCGCTGTAGTATATTACACACGTACCGATGGACACAGATGGTCGCTAATGGACGTTTCTGTTGTTACCTATTAGTCATGCGTCACGGAAAAGGGATCCAGTATCCATTTTCGCATGACCCCTGCATCTAATGTAAAGTGATTTGACCAGAAGATACATGTACGTGCATGCTCATGTAAATTATCCTTAGTATAATCTCTTGCCTATTGTTATGTAGACTGTGATCATGCACAATCATCTACATGTACATGTACATGTAGATGTATGAACCCAGAACGCCTACTTGAACACAATTATCTGTCAATCAAGGACACAGAATTCCTTTACTGCATTGTTGGACAGCAGCAATATCTCGTGCTATGACATAATTATTTAAAAAGGCATGTACATGTATATGTACATGTACATGCACATAATTATACATGTACACGTGGATTGATTATTGTGTATGTGTCCAGAACTCAATCACCCACAGACAATGTAGCACGTTCAGAATTCGTTTATTACAGTGTTTGACAGTAGCTTGGAAATCTGTGCGCGTGCCGCACTAGCACTGTAGTGTAGCATTGCGTAGGCGCTACGCAGGGTCCAGTACTGCCCGCGTACTGGTGTTATGATGTTCACATGTCAATATTAATGACAGGCCTGTTTCAACACCGCCACATACCATGTCATTGTTGAGACAACAGGCTGGGCTCAACTATTCGATTGAACATCGCAGCAAGCGTCCTAGTTTGCCCCCCGTCCCAATCCCGTCTCAGTGTTGTGCGTCGAGCAGCGCCTGTAACTGGACGTGTATGAATCGTCTATTCTCAATCTCAGCTCAGCATGATTTGGCTATCATTGTCAACGCCTCGGACGCTAAATCAACTGTACATCATAGACGTCCCCATGACATACTGCATACTGTATGTTTGTGCCTACACCGTAGATCTACACAACGCGACTCACATGTAGTGCTAGTGGCCGCGACGCCCACAAAATCAGTGCGTAGGGAATTTGGCATGCACCACATCCAGGAGATCCTGAAACATCCGCAGATGTGCACTTGACCGTACTTCGACGCTTCAGCAGTTTGGGAGCAGAGCTAGAGGCACGAATTGACAAAACCATCAAGTGAGGAAATAAGGTACTTGAACCCCTAGCGCTGGGATAAGTGCTTGATCGTCAGCGTGGGACTGAAGGTCAATCACTTCCCTTTTTGCTTTACTACGGAAATCAGTTGTATACGAGAAACTCTCACTGTCAAGACTATGATACTAGTAACACTACGACGAGGAACTCAACTACTCGTGTGAGCGATGTAGACAATGATAGTGAACAAGAATGTGTTCCGTACATCAACAACGTACAGTAGAACCTGTCAAGGCGACCACTCGGATAAGGCGACCACTCGGATAAGGTGACCACCTGTCCAAGAAGACCACTGAAACCAGGATCGAGGGATGCTATTTCCAGTCAAATGACCCTGGATAAGGAGACCACCTGGTAACGGAGACCACGTTTTGAAGGTCCCTTAAGCGGTCGTCTTAGACAGGTTTCACTGTACATGTATATTGAACATCAGTCACAACGGGAATATGTTCTCAGACTCGACTACCCATGTAAGCGAACAAGATAAAGGTAGCGAACAATAAGGTGTTTTTTGAAGTACTGGACATCAACAAGTGATTGACTCATTTGTGGTGAAAGTGAGTCTACATATGCCCCAGGTTTGCCTGTGTTACTCACACGGTACTGCATTTCCATCCCAGTGGTACTGCAGTTCGATCTGATGGCCATTCCACACCCAGTGAGCTACTGTTCGCACATAGTGGCCATATGCATAGGGCCATTTTCCAGTCGAACATCAACAGAAGTACCCGTAGATCTACATGTACGTCGTGGTTATACATGTAGAATTATCTGCAATTGCATTGCATGTACAATCATGTACATTGTACATGTTCATGTACACGTTGACACGTATACAAGTGAATGCCAAATGGCGCTGTGTCCTGATCGCTGAAATGTGTGCAACTCGACTATAATATGTTGGAGCTACACAGCCTTTGGCTTCCCCTGTACATGTGCAATGTACATCATTATGACATGATTGTATGGACAATTGCTGAGGGGCAGACGATAGCTTGTTTATGCCTTTGCTTTTCTCAGAAATATCATCTGGCATTGCGTGTTATACATGTACATGCACAGAACATGTAGGAGTATGACGTATTGAATACGTCATACTTGATAAATAATATTTCACCCTGGATATCGATCGCATTCTAATTATGTATTCTAGTGAATGCTAGCCTTAGTCATAATTATTATACTGTCTGATGAGTGTTTCACACAAAACTCTGTGCAATGGAGAAAAGTGACTTGGTTGCGTCATCGCTGTGTGATCATTGTATCACTGGCTCTGTCCACCGTCCGTAGACACAGAGCATGTACATGCCGATTGTATTTAGCCTGATGACCCTAGACAACTGTCGTAGACAACTGTGCATCCAGATCAATGTACATGGGCGAATGGTTTGGGCTCCACCACGTTTGGCGCTGGTAATTTCGGCGTGCCACGAAATACATGTATTGATCAGACCAGATTGTACGCACGTCATCGGTTTTGGGTCCAAAAAATCCCCTAGTTATGGTTTGGAAAAGGAAGATGAATGCACTAGTTTCCAGAAAGTGCCAAAGTGCCAGGTTTACATACCGAACTGACAACCTATCGCGCTACAAGCTGCCCAAGTAAGTAAGTTAGTTACGATAGCAAAGCACTCTACCAACGCGTGCTGAGTGCGTAAGGCATGACTCTTGCAACAGTCATCTGCTTTCTTTGCTCTTCCATGTTCTCAAGGTAGCCCCACCCCCACCCCTCCCCCAAGAACGTCATTCGGTCAACATTAATTAAAAAATTAAACGATTGTTTGGGGTGATGGTTCTCAGTTTGTACCTGCTCAGGATCGTGCAGGCCTTTCTGCCCAATCACCGGGTGCGAGAGGTTGAAGCTGCGCCTTCATCATTCATGGCAACCAATAATTATTTGATGCGCGCTCGCTTCCTTGGATCAGGTACTTGGATTATTCCACGAGATAGCGCCTTCAAGTCACAAACCTGAGTACTGTAAGGTACATGTAGTTAGTTCTAGCTGGAGCAGGTCTCAGTAAGCTACATGTATGTCATGCCGCAGTTGAAGCTCGGAGTGTCAGCTCCTCTACATCAGGGTACGGGTACCGGGTATGGAACCCAGGTTGAGATCGGTGAGTGATCTCACATTCTCAGCTACCAGCCGGACTGACTTAAGGTTAGCGCTGGACGAGGCCTAGGACAGGCAGTTGTTTCCCTGCGCTGCGCTCAGCTCAGTGCACCGTTCAAAGATGACATCATGGTCTTCATGACATCGACACAAGTAACAAGTTAGTGAGGAGACTAGAGCCACTTGACGGTTCGGGTCAGAGTGAGAGGACCCACAATGAATGGCTGGCGAGTAGGAGCAATGCGCTGTATTTAGGACTCAAAACACAAATATGCTCTTTCAGTCCGGTTCTGACTTCGCTTCGAGCAAACAGGCAACAAGACTTCCTCCACATATCGATTACAAAGTACTAACAAAGGGTTGGAAATATCTTCGGCTGGTTACTCGTTTCGTATGCCATCTTTCTAGTTTACCTTAGGAGACCACTTCTTCCCCTGTTGCTTGATACGAAATGGCTTTTGGCTATGGCGAAACAGATGACAGTGCAGCTAATTCACTCCCTCAAATCGATCCAAAAGGTGGAGCTGAGCCGCTGATATCCACCCTTGCACGCCAGGATCAAGGTATGGAGTACGTGATTCCAGCGAGCCATGCTCCAACATTCTTGTCTGTTGCTGATGGTTTGGGCGGCACGCCATGCTATGCACCCGATACCCAAGAGAATCCCGGAATGACCCACATGATTCCATGGACAGAACAGTCACAGGCACCCTGGGTGCAGAACGGAGTAATGCAACAGTGGCTGAGGAGTGCGGTCAAATTGGATGGCAGCGTACGCACTAGGTCTACGAAAAGTTCAGTTTGGACCGTGGGTACTCACTCGTCGACAGGTTCAGATTGGAGTGTAGGTGCTGCAGGCACACCGAGATCCATTCCATCGTCTGAGTTTTCAACACGCCCATCACCAGTGTTGGGAACAAGCACTCCTCCGGCCGTGCTACCATCGGGTTGGTCAGGATACGTGGAAGGTCCGCGGCACACACCTGAGGAGGCCACTCAAAGTACGCTTCGTGGCACTGACTGCAGGACGGAACATCTCCTGGCCGAGATTGACCAGTACTTTCTCAGCAGTACACTTCTTAACCCAGCAGAATCGCCTCCTGTCGATTCTGGCACCGGGAGGATCGATGTTAACCAGCAGATTCCCAGTAACACAGTCCTCAACACAGCAGCAACACATCTGGTAAATTCCTACAAGGAGATGTTTGACATTGATCAGCAGCTTTTCAGTGGTACAGACTTCAGCCCAGCAGCATCTCCTCCAGTTAATTCCGGCACAGGGACTATCAGGGTTGACTGGCCGTTTCTCAATGCTGTAGACTCAGCAGCAGCAACTCTGGGTACTTCTGACACGGAGGTGATGGACACTGCTCAGTACCCTTTCAAAGGTCCAGACTTCAGCCCAGCAGCATCTCCTCCAGCTTATTCCGGCACAAGGACTATCAGGGTTGACCAGCCGTTTGTCAATGCTGTAGACTCAGCAGCAGCAACTCCGGGTAATTCTGACAAGGAGATTCTGGACACTGATAAGTACCCTTTCAAACGTACAGGCTTCAGCCCAGCAGCATCGCCTCCAGTTAACGCTGGCATTGATATGGTGGCATTTAGCCAGTCGTGGCTTGTTCCGGAACAGGATCCTGGCGATAGCTATGAGTGCCGGTACCATGGTCTGCGACGAAGAAGGTAAGAATGTTATGTACAGATTACTAGTAGTAGTGGAATTCACTTTGCGCGTACTTCGTAGTCTACTGTACATGTATTCTGTAATACTCAGTGACTTGTAGCCTCTTTTACTGGCCAAATGAACACGATGAAATAGTTTCCTAAGTGTATGCTTAGTAAGGCCTTTGTCCGGAGCATAGGTGTGTAGTGATCCGCACAAAAGAACATGTCACATATATTGTATGTTGAGATAAGAAAGTACCTTGCATATACATGTAGAGTACAGTTTTCTGTTGCCCAAGGGGCTATCTCATACTGTGATTACATATACTGGTACATGTACTACGAAATGGGCCACATTCTGAGCGCACTTTCAACACCGTGATTCGTTTGCACACCTGTAATAGAAGAGAGAGAGAGAGACAGAGACGGAGAGGGAGAGAGAGAGAGATAGATAGATAGAGAGAGAGAGAGAGAGAGAGAGAGGGAGGGAGGGAGGGAGAGAGAGAGAGAGAGAGAGAGAGAGAGAGAGAGGGGGGAGGGAGGGAGGGAGAGAGAGATAGAGAGATAGAGAGAGAGAGAGAGAGATAGAGAGAGAGATAGAGAGAGAGAGAGAGAGTGAGAGAGAGAGAGAGTGAGAGAGAGAGCTTCCATCAGTCAGCAGAAAGTGCAAGCTCAAATTTTCTGCATGAGCAGCTACTGTACCTTGTTCCGGTCATGTACTTCATAGTACTTATTAATGATGTCTGCTCCTGAGTGAGTGTCTAAGGGTCTACTTTCTATTGCGCGAAATAGTGAAGGAAATTAGTTCGTCCCTTGGACGTATGAAATTGATAATTCAGCTTCATAATGTCGAATATTTGTCAATGTTTATTTCTCGCAGGAGATTGCCAGTCGGTGACCGAGAACCTCACTTCGTCTGCTCAGAATGCACTGCAATTTTGCACAGATTTTTTCGCTCTTGTCAGTATCCGACAGCGAACCAGAAGCGTTCACTTCTCACACAGGTAAGACATTGTAAACAATATGTTTTATTGTACAAATTTTTTGCTTGCACAAGTGCATGTGCATGTACATGTACGTTGGTGAATACAGATTTTAAAGTAATATTTAGCACTGGCCCAAATTATGTACTAAATTTACATGCATGCCCCAAGGCTGTGCACTACATTTTAAATGTACATGTAGTTGGCATGATGGTACAATCATGTTCATGTATGTATATTGACCTGAATGTTTTGGTTTAATACATTCAGGCATTGCCCCACACGAAAGCAGTATGCTCTAATGTACATGCAACTCCACCATCGCAACATATTCGAACTTACATTGTACATGTACATGTGTGATTAGCCTTATTGGATTGTCCTTCTTTTTTTGCCTAAACCAGGTGGGTATGGAACGTCATCAGCTAGACAACTGGTTCTGCAACAAGCGCCGTCAGATGCGACGCGCCACTGCCTCACCTTCGTCCAGCGCGCAAGGGTCACCAGTGCTACCCATGTAGGCTAAATATCCGGTGCTTGCACCCCTTGAAGCACTTTACACACAAGAACCTGAAAACTCTACATGTCTTTACAGACGAAATTCACGGTAATGGTCATAAAATCATGCAAAAGCTTTCAGCCCTTCAGCCCTTCAGCATGTTATATTTTGAAATCCATCAAATTGAAACTCTACGGAATGGCCGCAGCGACTTCTGATGTACATTGGCATTGAAAATTACATGATTTCTTACTCCTCTTGACACTTCCCAATTCATGTACTTTGAAGTACGTATTTCACCCCCATGCTATACATGATTGTACATGTACAGGATGGGCTTTGGTGTATAGCTAGATAGAAGTTTATACATACATTGTCCGTAAATCGACCTTTCTGTTTGTTTGCTTCATTCGTTCAAATTTAGTCAACTCATGGTAAGAATGTAGTGCATGTACCGCCGCATGTACATGTACATGTACATGTATATGTACATGTATACATGTATGTACATGTACATGTACATGTATGGCATAATTATTGTTCTCAAAGTACACTGTATTCTGTATTCATGTCTAACTCGGATTAATAATCATGGTTAAATAATAATTAGACTGTTTGTAAAGTAACTGTGTGGTGTCAATGGGCAGTATAGCGTAACCTGTCGCTATTTGGCCCTCGTTTCGTCTTATAAATAAAATAGTAATAATAATTTTGTAACATGGGCTCGATCGCATATCTTGTGCCCACAATTTCCATGGTACAAAATACATGTAATATTATTAACAATAATAGTTCACTCGCAAGGTTGATCATTATCCCTTGCACGTTTTAGGACTTGTGCTCAGTCCTGAAGTTAGTGCTCATTGGTGCTTTCTCCTTCTATTGTTTTGCATTTTATACAATATACATGTACATGTATTTAGAAGTTAGAACACATGCTCAATTCATGTGCAAGGTTGATTGTTATCCCTTGCACATATTAGGGCCTGTGCCCTTTCCTGTTTTATTTCATCTCATAATAAACCTCGGGTCATTTTCATAATAACAATAATAATAATAATCGTGATATCTTGTACCTCCATCCCTGCGCGTCTATCCCTGGTCTGGCATTCCATTCGTGATTACTCTTTTCGCCTAACAGGAATGATTTCTCCTGATTCACGTGATTCCGCCAGACATAATTATTTTTCTTTTTGTGCACAGAGCTCAGGATCCAACTTACGTACATGCATTTACAAAGCGTCTAACACAGCCAAATGCAACGCACCTCTTCCACGTGACTATACTGAGAAAACATGATCACCGTTGGATCCTGAGCTCTGTGAACAAAAAGAAAATGTGTGATCTTTGCAATTGTTTGGTATTACTCTTGGTGGAGGTGTAAATAATGTTACATAGTTTGCTCATTTTTTTGGTGCCATTTTTATTTCCAAATTTGTGTTAATCTAAACTTGATGAATTACCATCATGTCACGAGTGTTATCTTGATCCTTGCCCTATTTAAGTGCATACTACTTCGAAGTAGTAGGATGTTTGACGCATAGTTCGTTTAGATGCTTTCGCAGCTTCCCCTGTTATCACCTTAGTGCTAGGATAGTATCATTTTCATAGGTGTTGATTCTCACTTCATTACTAATTAAGTGTTAGTCTTTCCAAATGGAGCCATTCCCTGTATTATCCTGGATAAGAAGGGAACAAAAACGTTCGATACTTGATGAGAAGTGCCTTGTTGACTGAATATGGAAAATGGCGTGAATTATTGTGGGCCTACCGTCGTTTGGGCATTGTTATCAGCCTCCGACCTCCTTTTACAATGTACATAATAATGAGACTTCGGGTATAACGACACTTCGCGAATAAGGACACCTTTCTGATGCCCCGCCGAGTGTCGTTATAAGCGAAGTTGCCTGTACATGAGTGTGCCTACTTTTATACTATGTACATGTACCTGTACATCGACATGTACATAGCTGTACTGTAAGTCCTAATTTTGATGGAGTTGAAACGGTGGAACTCGCTGACAACAACTCTTGCAAGTACAGGGTAACTCATAATATTTGATCGAGGGGAAACTCCGGCAAGGTTAATCGTGTTCTGTATTCTGTATGGGTGTGTTGATGTTGTATTTTGTGCTGATGTATTTGTAGCGAATGGCATGAATTAACAATTTATAGCTAATGACGCTAGACAAACTCAGATGAATACAGGTTGTGTCGGCATGCACCCTGCTGTAATACAATCGTTCAGGAATGCAACCTTCAACACCGTATTGTCAGGGTATTGTATGACAGCTATCGCAGAGGTGGCTTTTATCACAATCTCGGGCGCCCAAGTTGGGAGTGGAGTGGTGATTTCTTGCAGGTGTTTCGCGTGAAAGTTAATTTGGATTGCCCTTTTGCGTGTTCTGGACGGCATTCGCCTGGCAAGTGGAGTCGTTGGGAGGAGCGAGGGTTCATACGTTGGGAGGAACTAACTGCTTTTTTTCTTATTCCGTTTCAATTGACACAACTCATAAGCGAATGCACGTGCTCACTACCATACCGCTCGGATAATGCGAGCGTACGCAGAGGTGCACTTTATTCGTAGATATGTGTCCTGGTCTGATCGACCATTCTCCGGGGATAACCACCGATACAAATCGCAATAGTCTACTGTGTACTGTATACGGTGAAGCAGATCTGCAGCGCTGGCAACCAAATGGAGCTTTAGCCAGGGCATGTCGAGATTGTCGACAGCTGTCAACTCGCAGACTCATTGGGATCGAAAACAAAAAATTGCGACCAGCAATTTACAGTGTCATCACGATGTTGCTATGCAATCAATGAATGAGTCTCCAATCAGTAAATGACGTCTATAACGTACTTAGCACAACCAGGCAAGGGATAGCACTTCAAAACAATTATTACGAATACAGGATAGGGCGGCTAGGCGTTATCTAGACAGTGGCAGATCTGCGGTAGTGGGCATTGCAAGTTGGGGGAACAGTTGGGATGCTTTCGTCTCAGAGCAACAATGTACATGTACATGTAGATGCTACTCCCCTTTCTTCACTAAAGATTTTATCGTAGACTTTATAAATATGTTAGACTTCTGCAACCGCAGCTCCAGCAAATTTGCTTGATATGGATCAGTTGTTTGTTTGTATTCTTTATTTAGAGTGGGAAGTCCAAAACAGGCCCTAGCCTAATAACAATGGTCCCACTAGTGAGGGAATGCTGTATATCTGTGTAGAAGGATTAGTGAGTGTAACAGCAACTAGTAGGGAAAGAAAAAGAGCGAAGAAAAACAACTCAAAACAGGAGTTGCGACTTGCATAGGAAGAATAACGGAAAGAGCAGTGCATACAGCATTTGTTCAAGACTAGTTTCATGTACATGTTTGTGCCAGGCGACTAGTTCAGCTCTGCGCCAAGATACTTGCCAAAGTATCCTCCAGGTTCTAGGTTTTATAATTCTCGAAGGAACAGAATGAACGGATTGCGGCCATGTAAACAAACGACTAAACGTAAAATCGTAAAGGGGATCACGTGCGATCACGTGCACCCTCGCACGCACATGGACCTATAGCACTAATGGCGTTTCTCGTGCTTGTAGGTCATATCGGTTCGTTTGAGCTTTTCCTCCCGCACTTTTAGCACCGCATCCTAGCAAATCCTTGGCCTTGCTCTCGACACTTACGCCGATTTAGTACAATACATTTTTACTGCTCTAGATCGTCACGCCCCTTTTCAATACTTCGTTATGTCAGGGGTGTGTTCCCGTCAGTTTAAAATTGCTAATGTGTCGCCGCTATTCAAAGGTGGCGGCCTTGACCCTTGTCAGCCTACTGCGTATCGACCTATTTCTCTACTACCAGTCGTTTCTCGCCTCGTCGAGAAGATTGTCAAAGCTCAGCTTACATCCTTTCTGACCGATTACAGTATTCTCCCTGACTCGCAGTTCGCGTACAGGAAGAACCACAGTACGGAGGACGCTCTTGTGCTAGCTGTCAATCGCTGGCTGAAAGCGAAGTATGAGCGCAAACTCACAGGTGTGATATTCGTGGATATGTCGAAGGCTTTCGACTATGTCAAACACACCATCTTGGCACAGGAGCTATCCGACATTGGGGTCGGCGGTACTGTCCAGCTATGGTTCACTAGTTACCTGAGTGAGCGGCTTCAACGCGTAGTTGTGGGCGGAAATTGCTCGGAATACGTCGCATGCAGCCGAGGGGTGCCGCAAGGATCCGTCCTCGGCCCCCTCCTGTTCACACTATACATCCGTAACCTTCGATGCTGCTTGCCCCAGCAGGTCACAAACCAGGAATTTGCAGACGACATTGCAATTGAAGCCTCGGGCAGTTGCGAGCAAGTGTGCTCTTCTCTAAGCACAGCCATCACTGGCCTGTCGCAGTGGTTGGAGGACCGCGGACTAATGCTGAACCAAAAGAAAACGCAAGCTCTGTTGATTACCCCAAGAGGCCCTGCCCCTGACACTTATAACATTCGAATTCGCTGTGGGAATGCAGCCCTTGCAGTTGTGGAACAAGCGCGGTACCTGGGCGTTATGGTAGATGGGCAGCTCTCCTGGGAGCCTCACGTCAATCACACAATCCAGCAGGTGCGGAAGTCAGTAGGTGCGCTGTGGCGGAGCCGCCGAAGCCTCACCCTGGCGTCAAAGATCCTGTTTTAAAGGTCGATGATCCGGGGTAGGTTGTCGTACGCTTCCAAAGCCTTTTATCCGTCACTTCAAATTGGCAACATGGAACCCCTCACACGTCTAACGAAGTGCGCTATCCGCGGCTTCTTCGGTCTGCCACCGTGGTCGCGCACGAGCCCGACCTTTGAACAGCTCCGCCTCACCACCCTGGAGGACATGTTTAACATTAAGCTCCTCATCTTTGTCCGTCGTTGTCTGTTCTCCCGAGCTAGCTCCCTCTTCACCAGCTTCTTCGTGAGAGTTACTGGTGACCGCACCAGGGGAGCAGCACATCACCTCATTCGAGTACCATTTTGGCCAGGTCCTGCGGGTCGAGCGACTATGCAGTTCATCGGCGCAGTCCTGTGGAACCAGCTCCTGCCTGATCTCCGTTCCGAGCCCAGCCACCTTCAGTTCTGTGCCCTGCTAAAAGCGCATCGTGGCTCCGTTTAAATGCTTTTCGGCTAGTGTGTTTCTGTGGTATAGCGGACTGAAGAATAGTAAACGTGTTTTGCAATATATGTATGAGGCTATTTTGTATATAGTATGTTCCCATTCCGTTTTTGCTTTGGTGTAGCCCTGAGGTTGATTGCTTATTTATTTCTATCCTTCCTCTCTCCATACTTCTGTCCCCCCTCCTCTGTCTCTCATCCCTTCTGTCGTCCACATGTATCAAAGGAGGCGAAATCGCCTGTTTGTGGTGCGACGTTAAATAAACTTCTACAACAACAACAACAACATTATAAGTATGCATGTACATGGCTTCGTACCATCACGTCAGTTCTGACCAGCTCTGTTTTTTCTTTTTCTTTTTTTCCAAACAGCTTGAGCCTCTTGTACGGGCAAAATATCACATTGGTGACTATTAGTATTACTATTTTCTGTTCGGTTCAGACTCGACGTCAGTCGTTTGACAGCGATGCCTCCAGGCCGTGCTGGAGTACGTTCGAACAACGTCTTTGTCAGTATGTGTGCCTCCTTGCCCTTTGCCACGCACACAACGACCAACGTAGCAGCGGTGCCTTTCTACACGAACCCTCGTGACACCTCCCCCCTCCCAGAACACACTAGCATTGCCTGCTACGCTACGTAACAGAACAAGGGTCTTGAAGGGGACGCCTGGGGCTAATTCGCTAAACTCTTGCTCCAAATGTCTGTGGGAGTCCTGTCCGCATTCGGCACTTGCTGTTTAGTGACGCTGATAGCATTAAAAGGCACAATCGACAGTAATCCCCTGGATGTTGTTGTAGTATTCAACATCACGTGGACCACGATTCCAGGGTGATGCAAATGTTACTTCACCCCTCTTCAAACGCTGACCAGCATGCAGCCAGACAATCAGCAGCGTGTGCGCGCTGCAGCCACAGGATGTTCGTGTGAGGATGGTTGTAGGCAGGGAGTCGTTAAATAGGTATTAACGACTCGGTATTTTACGACTCCCTGCTTGTAGGTGACAGCACCAGAATGGGTTTCGGTATGATGATCAAGCATGGACTTTTGGTCTTCCAGGATTTCACCTACTACA